TTGGCGATGATAGAGAAGTTCTGTATAAAACGTCTAAAATAACTGGCAAGGCCTAAGAATCTATGCACCTGCTTGGTATCTGTAGGAACTGGATACTCTGCAATAGCTTTCACATTATCTTTATTAGGACATATACCATTTTCATTAATCCTGTAACCCAGAAAATCTATTTCTGTTTTCAAAAATGAACATTTATCTAGTCTTAACTCAAGTAAATTCTGGCTAACTAATATTAAAACTTCTCTTAACACTTCTAGATTTTCTTCGATAGTCTGAGTAGCAATTAATATGTCATCAAAATATATTAAAACATTTCCTTGTTGGCACAAATCTTTAAAAATTTTATTAACAAACCTTGCAAAAATAGAGGGACTTGAGCTCAAACCAAAAGGTAATTTAAGAAATTCATACTGACCTGAAGGTGTAACGAATGAAGTATACTTAGTACAACTTTCATCTAAAGGAACATGGTAAAAAGCATTTTTCAAATCCAATTTAGAGAAATATTTCTTATTCTTTAACCTGTCTAAATGATCATCTATTAGCGGCAAGGGAAATTGATCTCTAATAAGATATTTATTTAAAGTACGATAGTCTACACACATTCGATATTCATTTGACTTCTTCTTGGTTAATACTACTGGTGAACAGAAAGGTGAATCACTTTCCCTAATGACATTATTTTCTAATAAATTAGCAAGAATTTCATCCAATGACTTTTTCTCTGCATAAGATAGTCTACGTGGTCTGATACTAAAAGGTTCATTTTTAGTTAAAGTAAGCTGTGCTTTGAAATCACACTGTGGTTTTAATGGTTTATCATAATCAAAGTAATATGACTTCAATAAAGTTTGAACACTAGTAGTTATTTCAAAAGGTAAACAATAATTAATATTCAAGTCTGCATCTAAATTTACCATATCGTTAATAAACAAAACATCTGTAAAAGGAAACTGATAGTCCTCCTCTGTTTGTACACAAGAGTTTTTATTTATTTTAAAAGAACCATTTGAAAAACTTATATTTTCTATGGATTCATTGTTTATAAAATCTCGACCCAAAAGTAGATTCCAACTAAAAGAATCTTTCTCAACAACATAAAATTTTAAATTTACTGATATGTCATCAAAAATAACTGTGTCATAAAAAAACCCTAACACTTTTAAAGGGGATTTATTTATACCTGAATAAGATTCAATATTAGTAGAAGGAATAATATCTTCTGCCTTTACAAAATTTTCTGATATCAATGATATTGGACTCCCTGTATCTATTATACCATTTAATGTTATGCTATACTTATCTAGAACCAGGTTTAATACAAAAGGATCCGTTTGGCTCATAGGACGTTCCACTAGACCCATGGCTCCATTACTATCTCGGTAGTTGAATCTGCAACTTGTTGCACCACTTGCTGGTTTCTATTAGGACAGTCTCTTACCATATGATCTTTGCTTCCACATCTAAAACATGATCCCCTATCACGCTTGGCTTGTCTGCACTCTGTCACTTTGTGTCCGGTACGACCACAATTAAAGCATTTTACAGGAACTGGCATCCGACCCTGTGTTGCTGTATGAGGTTGGTTCTGGCTAGAACTTACCCTATAACTTGATGCTGTAGCAAACCTTTGTCCACTTCCTGATACCTCATCTTTAACAACACTCCCCATTAACTTATATAAATCTTCAGTGCTATTGAGTGTGGATAACATCATTTTGGCTTGATTTTGAAGTAGGCGATCATCAAACCCATCAATCAGATAATGTATCATATCTTCATCCTCAACTCCTGCTTCGTTGCCCAGTAACAGTTTGTCATGGAAATATGCTGAAAAGCTTTCACTCTTTTTCCACCTTCTAGTCTCCATCTTTCTTCTCGACGACACTGGATCATAAGTTCTCCCATACATTCTCCTAATTTCATTTTTTAAACCTGTCCAATCTGTGGAAATTAAATTTGGTTTGCTGAGGTACCATTCCTTCGCTTTTCCGGTCAATTTTCCAATGACTAACAGTTGTAAAATATCAGTTGGAACATTATACACAGTTTTGATTTTTTCTATTCTTTCTAACCATATTGCAACATTCTGGCTTTTGTCTGTGCCTGAAAATTCCGGCATTAAATTTGATAATTCACTGTTAGTAATTTTTATGGGGTTATGTGTCGGCATCTGATTTTCTGGACCGGCAATTTTCTTTTTCTCTTCATAATCGAGGATTGCCTGTACCGCTGTATGAACAATTTCAGCTATACTCGCCTGAGCGACGGTGTTTCCACTTGTATTTTCAATTTCGGTGTCTGATCCCGGCATGGCTATCGGCAATACTAAACACAATTTTTAAATCTGCAAAAATATCGGCGATCCACGTAATCCCACTTCTGATTCTGTAGGCTCCGTTAATAAATAATATTGTTCTAGTTTTCTTAAGTTTATTTAGCGGAAAGAAACACTAATTGTACATAATTCGACATAATAGTTTTCATAACATTCAGATGGCCATAATTCATAATCACAAGTGTCAAGTCTAAACATAAAGAGTGTGGTTATCTTCTTTTCTTTTCAAATTGAGTGACAATCAGATCTGTTAATGGCGCGAAATTCAAATAAGACTACAATATACAGGTAGATGTAATTATGGAACCGATTATAGTCCAACTTAATGACGAGAGCGATGATTCGGATAATTCTGATTTTGAGTAAGAGTAAGTTTTGTAATTTGAGCCATTTCTTGAGTACATTCCAAGTGTGTTTCACAATTAATTGTGCCAAACAAAGTTTGGCACGATTTAAATATTAAAAACACTCGACAAGTGTTCCTTGAAGATCTCTCTGCAGGTCTAAAAGCACCATCAAGTAAGGGCTGACATCTAATAATAACACATATTGGTAGTGAACATGGTTTTTTCCTGGAGGACTCTCAGTTTTTGAATCCAAAAAATCTGGAGATTATCACGAGAAATGGATACTGAGAAATTTGAAACTTGGTTTTTGTTCATATTGACAAAAATTAAACCTGGCTCAATAATCATTTTAGATAATGCTTCCTATCAAAGTCGTCAAATAGAAAAGCTTCCAACAACAAGTTGGCGAAAAGGAGAAAAAAGTAAATGGCTAGATAGGAAAGAAATTGGGTATTACAAGTCTATGGTTAAGCCGGAGTTACTAAAAATTAGCAGGACAGCATAAACAAAAATTTCTAAAACACGTTTTTGATAAAATAACTTGTAACCATGGGGTTTTTATTCACTGATAACCACCACACCATTGTGAGCTTAATCCTATTAAGCTAATCTAGGCACAAATAAAGAAGGAGGTTGCAAGTAGAAATACTACTTTTAACTTATGTAAAAGTGCTCTTCCACTAAGCCATAAATAACGTTACACAAGAGAACTGGCAAAACTGCATCTTTCACACGCAGAAAGAAGAAGAAAATATGTGGAATTTAGATATACAGGCAGATATCATTACGGAACCCATTGTCGTTCATTATGGAACCCATTGTCATTCAACTTGGTGCAGATAGCGATGACTCAGACATTTCTGATGTTGATTAAAAGTAAGTTATGTAAAATTGATTAATGTTTGAAACAGTTTGAAAAGTATTTTCGTGAGTTTTCACCAAGAACGTAAGATGAAATTTAAAAGATAGTCTATTTTAAAAATATTTTTGAGGTACTTACAAAATTAAATATTAATATTGATAAAATTGCTGTAAATATTTATCCAAAAACCTCGACGCCTATGATCCTCCTCATGTCCTTCTGCTCGACACTGTAACTGTCTATACTGTAAAAATTTGTCACTCCGTAAGATTTCCAGATCGAAGTATAGATGGATGGAAGGAGGTCAAGAAAGAGGTGGAATATCAGTAGGAGCTCAAAAACTCAGTAACTGATGACACAGATATGCTGATGACACTTTAATAATCGCGGCAAATCAAGAAGAAATGGAAGACATAATGAGATATCTGGAGGATAAAAGCAAAACATATGGACTAAAGCTAAATATGAGTAAGACAAAGATCATGATAGTATACTGAGCTCGGAATAATCCTCAACACATTAAAGAAATTGGGGGCTTTGAAGTAGTAAATAGTTTCATATACCTGGGGCCCTAATAACAAATGATCGAGGGTGTGACAGAGAGATACATAGAAGGTTGACTATTGCTAGAACAGCTATGATGAAACTGGTAACAATTTGGAAAAATTCTAGCATAACAATACACACAAAACTAAGGCTGGTAAGGGCACTCATTTTTCCCATAGCTACATATGCATCCGAAATGTGGACCTTAAAGAAAATAGAAGCTATTGAAATGTGGGTATACTGCATGTTAAGAATATTCTGGATTGATTATCACACTAAAGTATAGATATTAGAACAACTTAAAGTAAAGGATAGATTGCTTAAACAAATACAACAGAGATATTTGTAGTATTTTGGACACATTGCTAGAATAACAGGTACAATGGAAAAGCTGATAGTCAAGGGTAGAGTTGAAGGAAAGAGACCTAGGGGAAGATCTCCAAGCTGTTGAGTAGATCAAACAAAAATATTGATTAACAAAGGGTTACATAAAGCCGAACAACTAGCCCAGGACAGGAAAGGATGGAGGGAAATCGTGAAAAAACTGTCTGATGGCCAGTGTCTGGGGACACCATCAAAGGCCTGATGGTGTCACCACATTTCAAAAGGAATGACTGAGGAGGAGGAGGTGGTTATAGAACAATTACTGTGTGGCAATTGTTACCTTTTTTCATACAGAGTCATAAGCAAATATGTTGTATTTACTATTATAATTGACTTATGACTGTCCTAACTTGAGTCAATATCTCAAACATACCAAATTCTTAAAATATCACATTCAGTATGAAATCTACAGTATACCTTAAGCTTATTATACTTAATGTAACTCAGGTCACTTTTAAAAACATTAGTTTATCCTTACAAAAATACAATGAAAATATTAAAGAACTATAAAAAATATACTTACACACATTCACTGCGGTTTTGATGATAATCTGATTTATCTGTGTAAAAATCAATGTTATTCTTGTTATTGAAATCTTGATATTGCTCTACAATATTAACATCTTTTATAGGTTCAAAAGCTGGTGTGTCTACTACCTTATTTAAATCAAATAAACTGCTTTTTTGAATTAGCTCACTCTCGTTAATTGAGCCTTCTTTTAACTGGGAATTTTTTAATATGTTATTATCCTGAAAATTTGGTGTGAAAGTTTGCCCACATTGGCAATCACCTTCAGCTAAATTAGAGTTTGATGAATGTATAGCTTTTTTCAGCCAAGAAGGAATAAATTCTGGTGCTTCAGGTCGAAGGGTAATTTCATGAGATTTATATCCAAAATAAGAGTTTTTTTGATGGCTTTGATTAGCAGTAAATTCTTGTCTGACATCAGCTTCTAGAGGCTGTGTTATATGAAACGAATAGTTAGTCAAAGATTCGTTCATCATTGAAATTTTTATCTTATCTGAAATACCAAAGTCACCTTTTCTTATACTTCTATGGTTATTAACATTTCTATGGGCAAGAACAAGTCCTAAAAAAATTTATAATGCTATGTATTATGCAATAAACTTTCTTTCTGTGAACTTGATATAACTTTCTTTATGTGAAGTACTTAAGAAGCCAATATGTCATACAATATATTAAAATACTTTTTATCACTACCACATCTCACATCATTTATTTTTTTAATCTAACAATGACAATGTCACTGTCATATTTGATATTTGTTTATAATCTGATCCTGTCAATGTCAACAGCGTCAACTACATGACTTCTTCTTCTTTCGTTTTATGGCCTCCAACTACATGACTATAGTGCTATAATGTTAAGAAAAGAGGGTTAAGCTGGATTTATAGTTTGACGCACTGTAGACGTAGACGCACTGGAGACGTAACAAAGGGACTGTAAATATAATTTCAATTTATAAATCGACGGAGTGGAATTTTTGCGCATGAGTAGAAACAGCGGCTAGAGTTGGTGACCACGATATTATAATATCATTTTATTATTTATTATTATTATTTTATAAATTCTTAACCTCCATTGTAACAAATAATCAACAAAATACAAATTCGAATATGTTGATAAGCAACTTTAAAAAATTGTGGGCGTGCCAGATAGTTCATTTTGGTTGACAGCACAAAATTCTTCCTTTTGATTGGCCAGACGCAAGTAACGCACTGTAAAAGATGAAAGTTGACCAACTCTTCCGTTACAGTGCGTTTCGCTTACGTCCCGTCTTGCGTTTACGTTCATTTATAAATAAGAGTACACAAAAGTCTATGTTGATCTTTTTCCAGTGCGTCTGCGTCTACAGTCCGTCAAACTATAAATCCAGCTTTAGGCTCACGGTTCGTAGACTTATTCTCCATTAGCTTAGCTCGGGCATATTTTGACAGATTCATTGTCGGAAACCTACAACACAAAAATTCCTACTTCTCAGTATTCATAGCTCAAATATACTACTATTGCAGACTTCTTCCTTTAAAAAAAGAAGAATTATTTCAAATAGTGGAAGTGTATACTAAACCCATAACATTTTCCCTGTATATTTAAAATATAATATTTGAGTTGTTACAATTGAACATATTGTAGTAAATATTTGTAATATTCGCGTTGTTTATTTTAGCTAATATAGTTTTATTGTTCCATTATTTTTGTTTAATTCTTTGTTAGTTCTATTTAGTTAATTAGTTAGTCCTATTTTGAATTTTATTATTAGTGATAGTCAAAGTTTTCCATTTGTTCTATCAGATAATGCGTTGGTAAGTTTTTCTTGAATAAATATAAATATGATAAATGTTCTTTAAAAGTTAATATTTTTAGATGAGTAACGATGCGGTTAAATTACGAGGTAATCAAACTGCACAAAGATTTATTCAAAACACCAACCATTTTTGTTTAATTATTTGCCCATTCGGCGTAGGTGGATCATTAAAATATATTTATAAAATTATGTAAATATGTTCTTAATAACAAACACATTTCAGTTAACATCCAGTTCAGCTTGACATGGCGTCAAAAATTAAATAAAAGCTGTGATAAAAGTTACAGTAATTTAGTTTATATCGTTAAGTTGCTCCAAATGTAGGCAACCAACTTAAACTTTTTGTTAGGATTTAGCTGGAGTTTCTTGAGAATATTTTTAATAAACGTTTATTATTTTCCATTTAATTTATTATTTTTTAAAAGTGATGATAATAATGCTGAATAAGCAATATTTCAAATGATATTTAATCACAAAACGTACTTAATATTGTGTTATTGTAAAATCCTCATAATAAAGTACGTTCGATAAAAAAGGTAAAATCCCGGGCCGTCCAAAACTAGTTTCTAATAGGAATAATAGAAGATTATGATTTGTTTTAATTATATTTTTGATGATATTGGATATTTTTGATGAATGATATTTTTGAATTATAATATGAATATTATGATATTTTTTATCTAACCTACTTTATAACAAAATAAAGTACGTCCTGTGATTAGATATCATTTGAAATATTGCTTATTCAGCATTATTATTATCACTTTAAAAAATAATAATAAATTAACTGAAAAATATTAAATATATTCTCAAGAAACTCCAGCTAAATGCTAATAACACGTTTAAGTTGGTTGCCTACATTTGGCGCAACCTAACGATATAAACTAAATTACCGTAACTTTTTTTACAAAAAATATTTTTTATATATAATAGAAACTTACATTCTATATACATGCTATAAATTTTTAATTCGTAGTATAAGTTTGCAAAAGAGGTCGACGAAATACTCTAATGAAATGCGCTATGAGCACGTGTACTTGGTTGTATAATAATTTCCAGCCTCTTCTAGTCTGTCAAAAAGTAAATAACTTCGTAAAAACATAATTACTAAAATCACTAGACAGTTCGGACTGGCATTAGCGAACCGAGTATACTACGGTTGCCTCTTCGACTGGGGTGGGGAGAGTTAAATGCTTGATTTACGTCACCAGAGTACACAAAAATACAAAACCCATTTATTATCACAGTTTTTTCTTGGTAATTATCTTTCAGTTTATTATTTGCTTTATTATTTATCGTTTCTTAAATATCTTAGTTTACTTTATATTTTTTAGTTGAAAATTTGGGGTTGTTTTCTGTAAAAACTTGTTTTTAATTATCGAAGAAAAGTTATTTATTGTAGTTGTACATCGTACCTATTGTAGCGTACCTTACATAAGAATATCTTTTTATAAGGTAGGTTAAAACTTTAAAATTTCATTGTCTATTAACGTAATAATAATGTTGATGAAATTTTAGAATGCCAGGCACAGGTTGTAGTGTGGCTACTTGTAAAAATAATTTTTATAAAAACAAGAAGTCTGCCGATTCTTATCAACAAATAGCATTTTTCACGTTTCCCAAAAATACAAAATTAGAAAAAATATGGGTTATGCGCTGTTGCAGAAAAGATCAAATAAATATAAAAACTGCAAAAGTATGTAGTAATCATTTCAAGTATGATTTTGTGGATGAAATGTATGCTCGAATAATGGGAACTAGGCCTAAGTTGAAATTAAAAGATAAAGGTAAGTGTTGTTGACTTATGTAACTCTGTTTATTATCATCACTAATAGCAATTCCGAGTAAAAACTTAAAATCTCAAGATGTTTAAAAATAAACAAAATGTGAACCTACAGGAAGAAGAGATAAAAAAGTAGCAAGGAAAACACAAACAGCTATCATTGAAGAGTTTGGAAAAATATTTTAAAAAATGAAAAAAATAATTATGTAGTGTATATTTATATCTATTGGAAATATAATAAACTAGTTACGTTTTTGCCAATTAAAATTTATTATAATGTATTTATTATACTTATTATTTAAATTCTTACATTAAATTATACAAGTAATTCTAACTCAGATAATTCTAGCTGACCTCTAAGGGCCGGTAATGCATTCAAAAGTTAACCCAGTATTGATAATTAAATATATGCGACAAATTTTAAGTGTAAAATGGAGATTGAAATCCTAGATTTACGTAAATCTAGAACTTTATTATGATTAATTTTAGGTATCAAACTACCTACTTATCAACAGTTTTCCATAATTAGGTATTATAATCTACTAAACATCTTTATTTCATAACTATCTTTACTATTTTCTATACATCAAAGACATGAAAACGCCGATTAACAATGTTGCGATTCAAACTACTGTACTCTCGTGACGTAATTTCAATGCTTTGTTGCATAGTTGCAGCAATGTGCTGATTAATCTATTGTTTCTTTATTTTGCTGTGTAAACACATTTCGAAAAATGTTAGGAAATTGATTAATTCCGCTAATAAATAAACTAACTGGATTATTTGATACTTAAGAGAATTAAAATTTTCTCAGAAATAAACTTCGAATCATGATAATTGCGTTTCGTTCTGTTTACTTGCCGTCAAGGGATAAAAAAGTAGAGGATATTGCAAAATCATCGCTTAGTAGACTGTTAAAAGACATCGGATTTAAATTTAAAAAGGATGACAATCGGCGAGCATTAATTAAGCAAACTAGTATTACTGCTCCTTCGCCAGATTCCTTCGTAAATATATGGAAAACAAATTCTTGGCAAGACAATAGTGCCCAAAGTGTCCGAAAACCAGGAGGTTATGATGGTAAACGTTTTATAATTGAAATAATACAAGATCTGAGGACAGAAAATCGTCCGGTAGGCAATCTCTACAATAGCAACTCAACTCAGAAAACTAAAAGAAGTCAACGTCATGGGGCACATGTTGGCTGCCCTGCCCCAAGCCCCTAAATTCTCAATATCCACAATAAGACGAAGTAGCGACAATTTAGTTGTCCATGGACTTCTCAATGGCCACAGATGAAGTTTTACCATCGATACTGGGGCAACTAGGTCAGTGATGAGTAAACATCTCCTGGAACAGTCATTTATAAGGAAAATATTTAAACCTCTCATACTAGAGACAGCAACAGGCAAAAGCATAACTGTTTATGGAGGGAGATGAATAAAAATTAGTTTCTTGGGCGTCGACATTATGTCAACATGAGTTTATTGTAGATGTCAGAAACATGACCTTAGTCGTCAGCAATGAAGAAATTTTACTATCCGCCTCTAGAAATCAGCAAAATTGGCTAAAGATATTAGTAGCAGAAGACACGAATATCCCTCCTAATAGCGAAAAGATCGTGGTCGCACAAATTGATGCATCTGGTGACTTGGGAGCCATGCTATTAGAACCAGAAGAGCAGGGTCATGAGAGCGTCATTGTGACCAGATGTTTGGTAGATGGGAATAAAAAACTATTCCACTAAGGGTGGCTAACCCAAATGACAACAAGATCACCTTAAAAAAGGGCCAAGTACTTGGAATATGTGAGCCAGTGGTAAGAGTGACCAGAACAGAAAAAAATCTAAAGAAATTATTAAAGATATTTAATGCCATATGGAGAGAAGAACACAT